TGTGACTGTACATACTATTTTGTGTTGTAAGTTGCTTAGCTACAAGTGGTAATTAAATTGTGAGTAAGTACCTAGTGAGTGCATGTTTTGATCAGTTTATTTAAAATAAAAAGGTTGTTATAACCTTCATCGGAAGTCATCTTCTCTTTCAAGGCATGGCAAGAATTCATTACTTTGTCTTCAGTAGGGCCTACATTTTATGCTCCCTAAGCATGTAAGACTCTACAATATCTAACATGAATACCAACCAGTTTCCCTTAGAAAGTCTAGTTGCACCAGTGGCTAAGTTGTAAAGTTGCTGAACTTTCTTAGTTTAGTCTGGGATATTGAATCTCAGTAAGTAGGCTAGCTACTTGGATGTTTCTTTAGTTTATCTCATGTGTAATTTGTATATGAGCCAGTTCTCTCCACAAAAGCATGCGGTTGATCTTTACATTACGGTAACTTGGCGATTTTTTGGCGAAAATTTGGCGACCAACTCCCCTACAGCAACCCTCATTTTTTTCCCCCCCGCCATTTGTCTTCACGAAGTAAAGACATGTTTCTTTTTTCTTCTTATCTACTGAACACTTCTTCTAACAATCTACTAGCGAATTACACTTATGCTAGAATTTTATCAAACAAAACTGCTTAATCATGACAAATTCACTGCAAAATTCGGAAAAGTGCCAATACCATACACCTACGCGTTTTTCAAAATAACACATACAATAAAACCAGTACACGCCCGCTTATTTTCTTAAAAAAACATCCCAGAATTACACAAAAAGGGCATTGCGCAACTCTTCACTATATATGTACACTGCTTTTTTCTCATAATTGAAAATTCACGAAAATACATGACAATTTCTCAATCTTTAAAACCCGTAAAGAACATATATGAAATTACCTGATCGCGAAAAAGTATTACCCTTTACAAATTGAACATTTCCACATATAAAAATAAATAAAATATCCAAAACTTTTACCTTAAATCATCTATTACCTATACACGTCACCAATGAATCATACATGAAGCATTACAAATATAAGTATCAAATATTTAATTATTCCATGCACGTTTATTTCAACTTAAACGTAAACCAAATTCTACAAGCATAAAATTCACAAAATAACTATCATTCATTAAAATATCACTGAACATGTACGTGACTTATTTTTACTTAAAAAAAATCCCAGAATTGCACAAAAATGCATTGCGCACACTCTTACTATATCCATGTACACTTTTTATCTCATAAATTAAAAAAATTTCACGAAAATTGACAATTTTCTCAATCTTTAAACCCGGTAAAGAACATTATGAATTACTGATCGCGAAAAGTATTTCCCTTTACAAATATGACTTTCCACATATAAATAAATAAAATATCCAAAAACGGTTTACCTCTAAAGATCTATTACATTAACACGTTACCAACGAATTCATACATGAAGCAATTACAAATATTATTATCAAATTAATTATTTCCATGCACATTATTCAACTTAAACATACACCAAATTCCTACAAGTATAAAATTCACAAAATAACTATCATTTCATTAAAATATAATTAAATCAAAAACACCACTTAAAATATACATGAGCACATACATTCAATTAAAAATTACCTTACAACCTAAGTAATTTAAACTAAATCATTGCTAATAACAATTTCCCAAGAATACCAAATCCTTTCCACCTTACAGTTCAACAATGCATAAAAATAATTAAAAATACGAACTTACTAACTCCTTCAGAATCTTCATACGTGGCGGATACACTTTTTCATTCTCTTTCAGAATCTTTAAAACATACTTATCTTTCAAAGCAAGATACCACGTAAAATAATAACATAATAAAACATGTTTATTCTCTCTCACACAACCTTAAAAAACATTTCTTACGATCCTTTCAACACTAAATACCATTTCGAATTCACTTTACTTACGGCCATGGGATCCAAAAATTCACAAACACTATTTCACACACAACACAGAATAAAGCCAAATCAAAATTCCCAGATTTTCCCCATTAAGAACAGTATTCGTCATTAAAATCACAGCATATCCCAGATCTCTCATTTCCTCCCTCACACAATAATGCGAATCAAAACTAAACTACTCACATTCTTAACAAAGTCTAACTACCTAATCTTCTTCCGAATCTTCCTTACATGGTGGATACACTTTTATTAGGATTCAATAAAATTACTGACGATTTTTTTCCGAATTTTTCCTCCAAACTTCCTCCGCTAATAAAAAGCAAAATTCTCCTTCTCGCAATGCCTAGGAATGGCACTTTTATACCACTCCAGGTGCCCTCTATTGTGTTCGTATGCGCACCACTTCCGGATCTCTAAAATAATACTTTGTTTTACAGCAAGATGCTTAAACCCTTCATCCTCCAAACATTGATATGATTCCAACAATCTGAAATAATTACTCCCCGTAAAAATATATTCTTTTATAAAACTCAATAACAATCTTTACTTCTATCTCGCACAACCTTAAAAACAGTTAGAACCCCGCTTTCATCCCACCAAAACCGGGCTTCCACTCCCACTCTCTCAGACTACGCTTCCAAAGACTCTCAGCAATTTTCCACAATCACATTCTACCACCAAGCCCAGCATTGGCGCAAAATTCCACGCACACTCCCTACAAAAAGAATTCCAATAGCGCAGTCCACTACAATTCTAAATCCAATCCATAGTCAACTGGCAATCTATTCACCCAATAAGAAATCAAAAATCTCACCCATACTCAAACGACTTTCAGCAAACCACGACCCTTCCTTATACTTTTCACAAAATGTGCATTTCACCAGATTCTTGCACCGCCATTTCAAACTTATCACTAATATCCTTCCTTTCTCACAATCTAATTTCATTCCACATTTTGGACATTCATACTTATCCGCAATTTACCTACTCATGTACCATCAACCAATTCTTTTGAATATCACACAACGTAAAAAATTTCGAATTTACTTGAGACAGCGCCATACAATCCCAAATATCAAACCCTACTTCACACAACACAATGAAGCTAATACAAATATATACATCCACAGATACGTCTCCAAATTCCCCCCCCCTTTTCCGATTAAAGAAAGTAATTTCCAGTAATAGCACATGACATATCCCATGATCTCTTCCGTTAAAGAACCGTAATTCGTCCATTAATCACGACATACCATGATCGCTCCCCCACACAAATAAAGCATAATCGGAACTCAGACTCCTCACCTTATACCAAGTCCCAGGTATAACCTTTATTGCTCCAAAATGTCGCCAAACTACCAGTTACCGTAATGTAAAGATCAACCAAGCGTGTTTCCCTTAAATGCTTTGCCACATTCAATTAAACAATCAGCTCATACTTAACAAATTCATGCATATTTATTTTATCCAAAATTTATTATTTTTATTGATGCCTGAATTTTTTACTTTTATTTTTTATTAATAAATGATATGATATTTTATGATTATCTGCAGCCCCCTGAAAAATATTCATAAAGCAATTATGCTATGTCATCAAAATGTATTTATATCGGGTAACCCAGGCATCCGCAGCAGATGAGCACCATCACTTGCAAATTTGATGTCATTAGTATTTCTCCCCCCCCCAATAGAGTGCACTTTTTTCTTGTAAGGAATCGTAAGGCATTTTGCCTAAATAGAATGCAGAAATTCATATTCAGTGAAATTGTACTTTGTCAATGATCAAACTTTATGGATCAAATTCTGTGCAGTTCTCTGATACTTTTTAAGTGAAAACAAGTCGCTGTGTAAATGGGAAAGCAACCACATGTTTAGTGCCAAATTTATGTGATTCTTAGTTGTATTTTTAAGTGAAAACAGATTGCTGTGTACTTGAGGAGGAGGATGATGTGTGCAGTGTCAAATTGTACACTATGCCAGTTTTTGCATTTTGATATATACATATTTTTAAACCAAAACAGCTTGCTATGTGAGAGGATAACCTCCAAAAAAAGGGGGAAATAATATTTCTTTTTTTTTTTTTATAAATTAATATTATTTGATAAATGTCTGGCAGCTAAGGGAAAAAAATATTTTATATTATTGCTCACATTTCAATAAAAATAGAGTTTCAGATGTAACTTGGCAGTATGTGGTAAATTAAAAACACACATCTTGAGTACTACACTGCATTAACCTTCTGAGGAGCATAGGTTTTTGGATCTGTCATGACCTGTACTTATGCAGCATTTATTAGCAAAATTTATATAATTACTTACTTTAGCCTCTATTTCCATAATTAAGATTACATTTACATTATTAAAGAAAGTAAGAAAGCAAAATAGCTTAAGTTATAAGCTAATATGTATCAAGTAATAAAAAAATCTCATGACTGGATAAAGCCAGTCATTCCACTCAGATGGTTAATAAGATAGTATTTTAACTACATAATGGGTGTGCACAAGCAGTGGCCTACAAGTAATTTTAGGAGGGAAATATTCTTTTAGGAGGAACAGGTTCTTTTACCTCATGGAAGCATAGCTTCTCTGTTTGAGAAGATTAGTGGTTTTATTGACAGGTTTATGCTGAAAAATTCTTTAGTCATCATACTAGGGGTATCGCTTTCATTTGGGTAATGTTTGTTCTCTACATGGAATCTGAAGTCCAAGATTGCTTGTTTGGCATTATTTCCTTCTAAGGATGATGCAGGTAAATTGTGGGTTTTTGATTAGAAAATATCATAGATACCCCAGTTCTTGATTTAAACTTTTACCTAGCATGTCACACAGTGATTTCAGTGTGTGATTTGTGTGTGTTATTCATAAAGCCAAAAGTTGGATTTTTAAAAAGTATTTAAGAATCTTCAATACTTGTGTTCAACTGTAATATTTTCAGTTATCTGTACCTTCTTCAAGTAGTTGCATTAATTTTCTTATGCAGCAGAAAATTAATTTATTTTCTTATGCAGATTTTTTCTCCCACTAATTTTCATTTGTGACTTGGACTCTAATTTTATTATTTTTAAATTTTTCAGAGAGGCTTAGAAGAAAAGACTTGGAAATTGTCAAAGCTATCAGGGAAAAAGAGAAAATATTAGCAGATATCTTCCAGGTCACTGAAGAAGAGTTCAGTATCCCTTCGGAAGTAAGTTTGATAGAAGTGCTTGTTCTGCCTCCCACATTTATGCATACATAAATTAAGTTCCAGTTATATTTTAAAATAAAAGAAATTTAATGCCCTTATGACAGGATATTTTTGTTAAATAGGAGACGTATTCGGAAACTAAATACCGTTTTGGGGGGGGGGAAAGTAAAACAATTTTTTCGAATCCAATTTTATTTTTACATGAAAATACATGTCTTAAACTATTTTCAACATATTTTCCGCCAATGATCAAACACTTGTCATAGCGGGTGACCATTTTTGTATTACCATCATCAAAGAAATTCCGCTAGTTTCGATAACCACGACTCCACAGCATTTTTCGTGTCATCATCAGATCCAAAGCGCTTGCCACCAAGCTCGCGCTTCATGTGCAGGAACAAGTGATAGTCGGACGGTGCCAAGTCTGGGCTGTACGGCAGGTGATCGAACTGCTCCCAATGAAACTGTCGAATTAACGATTGAGTGACACCAGTAGTATGGGGCCGAGCATTGTCATGGAGCAACACAATTCCTTTACTGAGCATTCCTCTTCGTTTGTTTTGAATGGCATGCCTTAGTTTTGTTAAATATCGTGCCGCATTAATGGTTTCACCACTGGGACGAAATTCAGTAAGCAAAACGCCTTTCCTATACCAGAAGACAGTACACATGAATTTTGTGATGACATTGTCACTTTAAACTTTGTTTTTTGGAGAATGATGTGGTCTCCACTCCATTGATTGTTGTTTCGATTCTGGTGTGAAATGACACACCCAAGTTTCATCACCTGTCACAATTTGGTTTAAAAAGTTTTCTCCCATCATCACTGTACCGCACGAGAAATGTCAGGGCACTACCAAGTTGCTTTGTTTTGTGAACATCAGTGAGCATTTTTGGAACCCATTGGGAACACAGTTTGCGATAATTCAAGCGGTCAGACAAAATTTCGAACAAAACAGTACATGAAATTTGTGGAAATGCCTCTGAAAGAGTTGTCATTGTGAAGCGTCTGTTCTCATGAATTGCTTCATGAACTTTCCTTACCAAATCATCAGTGACAATAGAAGGCCGACCACTCCGAGCCTGGGCGTGGACATTTGTTCGACCTGCATTAAACATTCTTACCTACTTTCTCACCATTCCTCACTTATCGCGTATTCACCGTAACTTCTGTCACTTGACGAAATTTTCGGCCGGTTAACATTCCTCGCGTTCAAAAATTTAATCATGGCACGAATCTCACAGTCGCGGGAGAACTAATTGTTTTAAGCATTTGAATGTGCACAGCAAACTAAAACAAAAACATAGAGCAACCAAAATGGCGGCAATTGAAAGTCAGTGAACAAGAAAGACTAGTGCGCATGCGCGGGACGCCTACCACAACACTGCAATGGCGCTAGAATGAAATGGTACTTAGTTTCCGAATACGCTATGTACATACATACATGATTTTATGAATAAATTTCTTCTTTTAGATTTCAACTGAAGCCAAGGATGCTACATCTTCAGAATTAATTATGATTGCTGTTCAGCAAGGTAAGCTGTTTTTGTCACCCAAATGATATTTATACGAATTTTTTTATTTTTGTAAAAAGAATTTTTTCATGTGTACTTTTTTTTTTGTACTGTTTTTGTACTTTGTTTAGGAACTATTTTTTAAAATGTAATCATATTGTTGCCATGATAATGTCTGTTAATTTTGCATGTATTAATTTTGTATTTTTTTTGGGGGGAGGGGGATATGTCTCTTCATTTTTGTTAATTTCTTTTATCAGCTCTACCATTTTTAAAAAAGAATTCCACTTTAAAGAACTAATCATGAAAGTTCACTAAACAGCTAATTTTTACATAATTCTTAATAGCTTGGCTTCAAGTACTGTAAATTTGGGAGAGGAGATTTGGTCTTATTAATACAATCTTTCAACATATTTTCTGTGAATCAGAGAACTAACAGTCATGAAAGCTTTTGTTTTAAATCAACTTTTTTTGGTGAGCTTTTTCTTTTGAAATTTAGGGACACATTTTAAATAATAAGAGGCTGATGTGTATTTTTTCAAATATTTCATAGGTATATTTTCATTGGTATTCAGTAGTCTCTTTGTGCATTAAGTAGGGTTGAGAATGACATTATTATTTTATCAAAATTTTAAATTTTTCTTTCAACGTAGTCTTTGCAAGCCATTGTTAAAACTCTGCTGCCATGAGTTGGTCTTATATGATATTAATGAATCTTCCAGAGAGGAAGGAAATTTTTCATAAGCATGCAATGCAAGACTTGCATTCCAAGGGCCGAAGAAAAAAAATATATTAAAAGATATTAAAAAATATTATTTTGCTGAATTTAAGTAGCACTGGAAATATACTCAGCCTTTCTGTTTGTGCTTGTTGTTAGATCTACATTATATCAAAAACCTTTCATTTGGAATTTTGCATAGTATTTGAGTTTTGCTTTTGTTTGAAAATTGATTTTGTGAAATTAAAATTGTAAGCAAATTATGCTAGGGGTATTAATTTAGAGATTAAACTGCACAAACCATGTTTTTACACAAAGGGTAAAAGAAAAATGGATGAAGTGTTTTTCAAGATCAGTGCAAAATTACATACTCTTTTGACATTGTGTAGAATAAAATTGTGGGTTTTAACTGTAGTAATCTTAAAAAATTATGTTTTTTCCTTAAGGCTTATACCTTTATCATAATTAATGCCTTAAATGTTAAGTTGCGGTGAGAACTAATTATTTTTACAATTATAGGTACAGTCAAAAGTCGTTAATTCGGACACCCATAATCCAGAATGATCTATAATCCGGACCTCAAAGCTAAAAAACTTTCTGCGCATGCATCGCGTAGATGCATGCGCATAGGCGTTTAGGTGCGCGCGTAAGACCTTTACGGCTGCGAATATGCTTGTGCGCATGCTCATAAAACGTTTACGCATGCGCGTTTAACGTATAACGGACGGTGTAAGCTAAGCTAAAATTATCTAATTCAGTTAATGTTGCAGATTGCGTTTTTCCTTAATCTTCGAATTGGATCCGGTTTATTATTTTTTGCAGACTGTTAGAGCAATTTTATAAAACTAAGCTTTAACTTTTGATTATTTCAAATAGAATTTCCGATATATATTTGTTTATATGTAAAGGATCTAAAGCGAAAAGTATGTTTCGAAATCCGAAAATCTGTTATCAATTTTCACGCTGCCGGCGGGGGGACGCCGCGGCGCGCAATGAATTGGAAGTTGATCTGTCAGCACTATCCTTATCTTCAGGGCAGATGTTTTTATTTTATTTGGCTTATAATTCCTTACTAAATGTAGTATTTCATCTCGATGTACTCCGTCTTTGATATGATTTAAAACAAGTTCCTTGTCATTATATTCGCTTTCGATAGTGAAGAAAGTGACAGAGGTTATTGAAAACGAAAAAATTTCGATGACAAATTAGTCTGTGTCTCGACACCGCAATTTAGGACTTGAACAGCAGAACTTTGTAACTAAACAAGAAATTATGTCTGTTTATAGAATTAAAGAGAAAGTATTATCACATGAAACGAAGCAACTTAAACAACTTACATTGAAAGAAATGTTTAATAAAGTAAACAAATAAATATTAAGCTTTTTCTTTTTGTAAATTTTGATACCCTTTAGATCATAATTATTCTTTATTTCATAAATTACGGTTTCATATTTTTAATTTTGTAATTTCTGCATGCCATCTTACCTGATTTAAACTGATGATCCAGAAAAATCAGTAATCTGGAATCGCCGAAGTCCCGACGAGTCCGGATTAACGACTTTTGACTGTATACACATGTGTGTATTCTTTCTGTATGTGTCAGATAAAAATTTAATAAATAAGAAAAATTAGTTATTATTATTTGTTCTCAATTCTATCCCACTTGTGAAATTTTCCCTGAAAATTTTGAAGGTTTTCATGTTTTTTTTTAAAATTTTAAGCTAAAAGTAAGTTATTTACTGTGAATTAAAATAACATGCTGAATAATGATTATTGGACAAATTATAGCAACAAGAATCAGCATAATATTCATGAATTTGCAGAACTAGTTTCGAAGGTATAAATACAGAACCTTGTTCTTCGGTTGCAGAAGCACAAATGTCAAAAGAGAAGCCAGTGATAATCTAAGGTAAGGTGTTAAAAATGAGAGGAAGGAAGTCAAGCTACTCGTGCCATCTGTTGACAAAAAATGAAAACAACGATAGAGAAGCCAGTGATAAGCTAAGGTACGATGATAAAAATGAGAGGAAGGAAGTCAAGCTGCTCGTGGCATCTTTTGACAAAAAAAAATGAAAACAATGATGAAATAATTTCCTTAAAAGCTGAGGGAAGCTGATTGGAATTGGAATCATTAACTAGAACTTAAGATTTTTATGAATGTGAAACATGTCTAGAAATTCTAATTTGCCAGCAGAAGATGTTTTTGAATTATTTTGGCTGCAGAAAAATAAAAAAATATGATTTTCTTGACTAACAGTATTAAGCAGCAGAGGATTTATGTTTTTTTTTTTTTTTTTTTTTTTTTTTTTTTCCCCTTAACATATGCCTGATGTTCTTTAGTGCAAAATTTTACCAATGCAAATTAAACCACATTGGCAAGGAATCCTGTATGTACACCAGGAGTTTATGTATCTGGAATGCGATCTGCAAGTATTAATTGTGAATTTTACTGACCGAAGAGAAAAGTGTTAGAAAGTTAAATTTCTGTAAAATATGTGCAGTTTTATGAATAATTGATGGAAAGAAAGGAATAATAGCATAATTCTTATTATCTCTAAAAACAAGAAGGTGCTTTTTGATGTTTTCAGATGAGAATTTATTAACCTCTTCATCAGTAATGTTAGATGAAAAGCCTCTGTCAATATCAACTACTCTTAAGTAATTTAGTTCTTTATCAAGAGCTGATTTGGAGAAGCAAACCTGAAGTGCACAGAAGATAAAAGAATAAAATAAAGTTAACTTCTGTTTAGTTGAATGACATGATTTGAAGTGTGGTGGAAGATAGACAGATAAAGATTTACAGTAAACAGCAATACTGAAGTTGGATATGTTGCATGTGACCCAGATGTTGACAAACGAAAGAGAATTGGATGTCTCAAATTAAAAAGTAAGCTGAATAGAAGGATGAATGGAATTCATTATTAAAAGAACTTTATTTAAATCAACTTATTACTGTCAAAAAGGGTAAAGGTATCATTAGTGTAGTGGAACAACATGGGAAAGTTTAAAATTTCAAGCAGTTTTGATTCATATTAGAATTAAATTTTTAATGTGTGTTGTCTATCAGCTAACAATGTATTAACACCTCGTGGAGGTGTTTTCCTGCCAAATCCTCACCAGGAGTAGGCGATTTTTTTTTTTTCCCCTGTTTGTGCGCAAAATTACTTCTGTGGTTTTTAATTTTTTTTTTTTTTTTTTTTAAATTTTTAGTTTTTCTCTAAAAATCAACTTTTTAATTTGCTTTAAGTAAAAGTAGTTTCTCAAAAATCAAAAACTAAGAAAATCAAGATTTTAAAGTGGGATATCTTAAAAAGCACTATCTTTTGTGCAAGGGTACATTGCAAAATTTACACGTATACTCCATAACGTTGCATTTTTTTCCTGACAGCACACACAACATTGACACAAAGTATTTTTCTTTCTCCCCCCCCCAATTCCCGTGATGGGTTCTAATGTATGTTTCCTCATATCCATGGATAGCCTCCCTGGAAACTCTTCCTTTGCTGCTGTTTTTCTAATGCCAGATGTTGATGGTATTATTTCTTCCGGTTCTTGATCAACTTATGGAGTATTTTCATCATTAAGCCAATGGATACCTAGAAGTTTCAAAAAATGTTTTGCACCTTATTTTCTTTTCCTTCATGGAATTACGAATAATGCACACTTTCTAAGATACATAGCAACTCTTTTAGTCCATTTAGTTATTTATCTTAGAATGAAGCAATATGATAGATACTGGTCAGCCCAATCAATGCCTTTCATGTACTTATTTTAGTCAATCAGTGTCTTAGATTTCATTATTTTTCACTTGCGTTTCTGTCAATATTATGACTTTCTTTCATTGTAGATGAATGTATTGTCGATATTAGAGGCACTGTTTTCAATGTTTACTGTACTTGTACTAAAATGTCTCTTTTTCTTCTAAAAACCATTTCTTCTCTTTTCTATGAAATTTTTTTAGGCAATCTGGAAAGTCCTCTGTTTTTTCGAATAGTGATGCAAATTTTAATTCTATTGTGTTATAGCTTTTCATTATTTACCATGCTATTGTGATAGTTATCCATGCAAACATGGTGTCGCAAGTCTGTATAAGGTGATACAACCATTTAAATTGTTTCTGTCAATCGCTTTCCTTGAGCACAATGTATTTCAAAATGACACATGTAGTCTATAGTACTTTCGCACAATATATGAACTAGAATTACTTATTTTTCAATTTTCATTATGTTGTAAACTGAAGAATAACCTCCCACCTCCAAGGAAGGACCCTTATAAACTTGGGAACAAAGTAAATCAGTATTGGTCTGATTTTTGAAAGCATATCTGATCTATCAGTCAAGTCTTCATTATTATTATAAGGGCCAGGCCTTCCATAAGATATAAAATTTGTCTCTCATTATTATTTTTGGAAAAAATTGGTGTTTTTATACATGTATTGCATGCTTCAATAATCCTCTTTTTGTTCATTACATATTTGTCCTATTAGAAGAATGAGCCTAAAAAATTTCTTCAGGTGTTGTATTGTGATGTCTTTCCATTTAAGGGCTTTCTTGGAAGTTGTGAATTTATGAAGATTTTAGTAATAATATCTATTTGATTCCTTTCTCTAAAAGGAATGTAAACAAATCGTATCTGCTACACATTTTTGTATTTAATACTGACTGAAAACTCTTCGAAGACTGGGGGTTTGTATACTCACAACCATACTTCTCGAGAATCAGAATCATCCGAATCCAGGCCTGAATCAGAATTACTTGAAATTCTTCATTGGATAATAGTCCTAGGACGATGTATAATAATGTTGTTACTAGAATCATCATCAATAACCTTGTCCTCACAATTTGATGAACTATCTACACACAATTCTTCATCATCATGTTCTTTTTATTAGTTTCTATCCTTAGGAATTTACTGTGAAAAAATGTCAAATTTGGCTGGGAACACACTACGAATTGATGCTCCTAATGATGAAGTTCAATTATGCAGACGTATTTGTGGACAACATGTGATCAGCGTGCACTTGGCTAGATTGTCAGCTGTATGTAGTGTGTCCGCTGCTCAGCTTCCCAGATTTATTCAATGCATAGCTGGAACCTCCAGTGTTGAGTGCAGTATTCATTGTAGCATAACAGCATCAGCAAAAGCAGCATTCATACGAATGCAATGCAATGCATGTTTTAATCTTGAAATGTATGGGTCTCAACTTAGTGCTCAATGTGTACCCAAACTTGTTGTAAAAACATTAAAAAGCCCGCTGATAAAAATAGTCCACTAATAATTCATAGAAAATGATTTTTATTGTTACCCCTGCTTGATTGCCAATTGCAGTTTTTACTTTCATTAAATTAAATCATTTAAGAAGTACAACTTCACAGAATGTAAATTTGGCATTGGCGAAATGTCATATTTCTAAAGAAATGCAATGCTTTTCTTTTTCATCAGTTTGCAAATTACGCAGTCTCATTATGATTCATTACAACAAAAACAAATGCACTCAATGCAAAAAGAAATCAGAAAAATTACTTTTACATTTTGAATGTGCTAATCCATGTATATTCAAATTCATGTTTGCTACGTGCATACTTGAATTACCACATATTGTATTTATTTGCATATTTCTCTCCCTCGTGTGCTTTTCCCGCTAGTGTTAGCATATGATTTAGAAACCTGCAATTTATAGTAACAATGTATGCACAAATAAAAGGGAAATATTTTGTGCAAAGTTTTAAAAAAAAGTTGATACATTTTTTTTAAAATATATAATATAATGAATGTTCTTAATATATGTCTGTATGCTTTATTTATCATTTAAGCTATCCCTGCAGAAATACTATATGTCGCATATTTTTCTCCTTCCATTTTTAAGCAGTAGGAAAGGGGGGGAGCACATGAGTAAATTACCGTAAATCTTTTTCAAATGAGTTCTTTTATACAGCTTTTTGTTTGAGATGTAGATAATCAGAAAATACATTTAAAAATGTTTATTTTTTTTTTTTTTTTTTTAGCAAACAAGTTAAGCTCTCTAATAAATGAAGGCTTAAACTTTGCTGAGGATGCACCAGCAATTGAAACAAATGGTAATTTTCATTATTATTTTTCATTCCAGCTGCAGTATTGACAGTGATTCTCTTCTCTACCCCCCAAATAATTTAGAGTATTAATAAATTCATTCTCAAGCAAAATTTTCTGTTTTTGAAATTTTTTCAAATTTATTTTTATTAACTTCTATATCAGAAGTAGAACTATTTTTTCTAACTTCTTTTTAGATTTTGTTTACAATTAACAATATGTGTATGAAATTGTTTATGTAGAAGCTAGTGCATAAATCGTTGTAATGTGGGAAATTTATTATACAAACAATTTAAGTGCATTTCTGAAGAACATTTGTGATCCTAAATGTTTGTAAACTGAAACTATTTTTGGCATAAGAATTAATGTAAAATGGATTAATCCATTTCTTGACCATAGATGATTGCTCATTTAAAATGTACAATAGTACCATGTGCACAGTTTCATAATACTGACCCCTTCCCCACAAAAAAAGTGTCTTTAAGATTTAAAAAAGGTAAACATAATATTAAACAGATAAAATTAAAGAAATTTAATTTTACTGTGCCTGTGTGAAAGAAAATACATGATATAAGTGAAAATGATGAGGAAGAGAAACAGAAGAAATGTTATTATTTCGATTGTAAGGATGATAATGACCTGGATACTGAATTTTAAGTCCTACAATGCAGATAACTTAATGAATTATCACTACATCTAAAATAGTATGATAAAGGTTTTGTGAAGGTTAAAATAACCTTTTTATTTAGTTTGAATTTTTAACATAGAAGGCATGACTTGTGCCACAAATTAGCCACTACATGTGACGATATAAATTTTAAAAATAACAATCGGTTCAATTTAATGTGTGTCTAAGACTACACAGGCAATCAACTAAATTGGCTCAAGGAATTTTACCAGGGCATAAGTTTAAAGTATCGGTTGCAAGAAAATGTAGAACTGAGATAATCACTTTTAGACAAAGCTGGCAGAATTGTAATAGCATGGTATGAGTGTCAGAAATTATGACTAAGATTCAAAAACCCTTAGCTTGTATTCACTAAAAGCTAATTTGAGTTTGTGATAAATACAGAAGGGAGAAGTCAAAGTAAAGATCAAAATCATAGTAACTAGTTAGTGAACATAAGTATGATACATGATGAGTTTTTTTCCCATAAAAACATCAGGGCATCTTTTAATGTTTTGTTTCTTATTTCCATTTGCCTCTGTTTGAGACTCACTGGGCTACAATTTCACTAAAAATTTGTCCAGTATGATTTGTTGTCTATGCCTTAAAAATATTTCTAAAGTGAGACATGGTATGAGCTATTTGAAAATGTTTATATTGTAGATTTCTGCTGGTTTATCAGGGTGATATTGTTGCTAATGAGAGTTTGGACCATAGAATATTAAAATTATATTTCTTAAAGTCTCCAAATGTTAATTCTCGATGAGGGGTTATCTGAAATAAATTATCTGTTGCTAACTTGAGCATTTGTAGCTAGAGACATAGTTCATCACCCAAGCTGTTTGTTCAAATAATTTGTTCATAATGAAATGGGTTCATGATTCAACGTTCACTGTATATTTCTTTCGAGTTCAGTGTAGCAAATATCGACTTTGTCTTTTTAATTTTGGGGCCTCTGTGCTATTAATTTATTATTAAAAGTTACAGCAATTATATTGTATTAATATGTGTTATATTGTTTAATCCATAGCCTTGTCTGTTGAAGAAAGTGCCAGTAGCATCAGTGTTAGTCCAGTATTACCAGATAAATTCAACTCTTTGAATTACTTCTGTAGACTGCAAGGCATTTCTCATCGTAATCTTTTGCCAATATCTACATCTTTAAACTGTTGTCTTGTTCAGTTAATGGTAAGCATGTAATCTGACAAAATATCAAATAAAGTATTAAGTATAAAAAATTAATAAAATTTGGTAATGAAATGAATATGTAAATGAAAAAATAATAATAATAGTGCAGATTTTCATAAGGAAAACAAATTGAGCAAAATACTGGTTTGCATTGTTAGGTTGAAGATAAAGTAATTTGGTTTATTTTTTAAATATCAGAATTTTTTATAATTGGGGAAAACTAGTTAAGCTGTTATTGTAAATAATTATGTATAAATATTGTGATCCTCTTTTAATGGCAACAGAAGGATAGCTTGAAAGTTAGAAATAAATATAAATCATAGATTGTGTTAGATACTGTGCTTGTGATACCCAGTTAAGTAGCCAACCAGTCTGTATATCTGTATTTAAATTTGGATATCTTGAATGATTTGTAATGAAGGTAAAGTTAATGTACTGTAATAGTCATTATACTAACAAGTAAAAATTATCAGTAAGCTTGGCAATTTTTTTCCTCTCCAAAAGAGGGATGGGGAAAGTAATTTACTTTATAGAAATGTGCTTCTAATTACAACTTCTTCTAAGAACGGAACTATTAATATAATAAAAGTTATGAGTATAAATATTTTATAACCTGAAGGTTATAAGATATCCTTCTATAGATAATTAATGTAACTCAATAAGGAGACATTTAAAATTGTTAAGGTAGCTTCTCAAGGTTATAAATATTATATATATATATAAAAGAAATTATTAGCATTAAAGGAATTTAGTAGATACAGTTAAATAATTTTGTACTTAATGATGCAATTTATTAAATTAAAATATTCTACTTTCATTACAGTTAGGTTTCTTATTAGATCACTCTGTATGTTATGATACACTTATATTATGATGTCTAGATATTTATAATAAACTTAATGAAATTAAAATACAGTAGAAGTCCAGAAATCCGCAAAGCATGGGACTAGAGGTTGTGCGGATTTTAGGGCAGAAAAGATAAATGGTAATATTCAGATTAAAAGTGAAAAATAAATAAGGCGTTATTAGATACATTTAATTAAATTATTATATACATTAGTGCAATAATTTATTATATGCATTAAATTATTATTGCATGTATAAATTGAATATATAATTCATTGTATTATATGTACACAGCATCGTGGTTTGCCGATTTCGCCTCATGCAAAGATTTCCGGTTTCGGATTCCGGTGTTAGAATCACTGTTGCTGTAAAATTTCAAACAGCTTTTCTGTATTTTCCCGTATATCGTACACAATCATGTCGCAATTCCCTACGATTCTGCTATAAACCGAGGAGTAGCACCTGCCTCCATCTTTTGCAGAATTTGCACTTTTGGCATTACCGTCAATGCAACGTGTTTACGTTTTTCAATGTTGCAAGCAGTAAAATCATGAGCGCGTTTTTTTATCTGTCATTGTATTAAAAAGGTGCTGAAATTTAAAATATTCTTAATTTATCCAAAAAATATTAAATATTATTTAAAAAAAACGGCAGCACTAAAATAACAAAATACAACAATGTGAATTGTGGACTTGAAAAAAAGAGTTGAGTAAATCATCTGCTTTTTTACCTCAATGCAGATTAGAGGTAAAAAAACTTTTATCATGATGTCAGTAATTTGGTATTTCTGTTATGATTAATTATTATTCGGTAATTATGACGTCATTATTCGGTTAGTATTTTTCTTCGATTATTTCATGTTGTGGTTTCCGGAACCTATAAACTGATTGTTTATATTTTGAGAGGCAACACGGATTTCAGGAGTTGGCGGATTTCAGGTCGGCGGATTTTCGGTATTTGACTGTATGTAATTTTCATTACTATTGATTTCTCATTAGATCAGTGTATTTAGTTTGTTGCATTAAGTTTAATATAGAAATGTAAATTTTCTTTGTAAATTCAAAGACTCTTTTAAGAAATAAAAATTTTTAGTTGAATTTTCGGTATTTGACTGTATGTAATTTTCATTACTATTGATTTCTCGTTAGATCAGTGTATTTAGTTTCTTGCATTAAGTTTAATATAGAAATGTAAATTTTCTTTGTAAATTCAAAGACACTTTTAAGAAATAAAAATTTTTAGTTGAATTTGATGTAATTAATTATCTTTGTAGGCCTTTTAAATCATCAATGTATTTTTTTGAGCAGTTCTGTATTTATGTTAACTAATATTAATACTGTATTTGTGTGCACATACGTTATATACGTAGCGTATTCGGAAACTAAGTACCGTTTCATTCTAGCGCTGTGGTAGGCGTCTCACGCATGCGCACTAGTCTTTCTTGTTCACTGACTTTCAATTGTCGCCATTTTGGTTGCTCTATGTTGTGTTTTCAGTTTGCTGTGCACATTCAAAATGTTTAAGACAATTAGTTATTCCGCAGACTGTGAGATTCGTGCAATGATTAAATTTTTGAACGCGAGGAATGTTAAACTGGCCGAAATTTATCGTCAAGTGACAGAAGTTTACGGTGAATACGCAATAAGTGATGGAATGGTGAGAAAGTGGGTAAGAATGTTTAATGCAGGTCAAACAAATGTCCATGCCCAGGCTCGGAGTGGTCTGCCTTCTGTTGTCACCGATGATTTGGTAAGGAAAGTTGATGAAGCAATTCATGAGAACATTGTTGACGTGTATCCTTTATCACGGACCGAAGTAAGGCAAGCTTGCAATTTAACAGAATTCTTGAAACGCGACTCGAAGGTTTTTGATTAGATTTGATTTGAATAAAATTGGGGATCAATGTTTTACATTTACATTTAAGTAAAAAGTCAAGATGATTCAGGAATTATTGCTGTTTCAGGCGTAATTTAGTGAAATGATTAATGGATTTTGTACTTTATTTGATTTTCTGCATTGTTTATCATGCCTTCATCCGTTAATCGTTTCACTAAATTACGCCTGAAACGGTAAAAATACGTCAAATAGGTCAAATAGGGATACATGTCAACAATTGTCCAAAATTGAACATGAACTCTATAAGCTTCATCTGGAACTCTCTAAAAATCATATCCAAAATTCACTGCCCTTGAACAAAAGTCTTGGTCTAGAACGGAGAATGCAGTTAACCGTCATAAAAACACCCTTGCAGTTAAATTCGAAAAACTTTTTTACAGTCTTCCAGTTCAAGTAGTTCAAAAAATCTTCCCATTGTAAACATCAAGCCAATAGTTAATATTTCTAATGTTAGTCTTTCAGAAGAACAAGAGAGAATTCTAAAATATAATTTTAACTTCTCACAAACCTGTAAACCCTTGATTCCAAAGATTTTGGCTCCTATCGAAAAAGCTTTCAAGTTCAGTAAAGTTTCAGATTCACAGAAAGAAATGATTAGGCATCTTATCGCTCATAATGTGAAATTCAATAATAAACCTTTGAAACCAAATCTAACTGCCAGAGAAAGAGCTACAATGCACGAAATTCATTCTAACTCGGATATTATCATTTCAAAGGCCGACAAAGGTGGCCAGATAGTTGTCATGGATAAGAACACTTACATCGATGGTGTCACTAAACTCTTAAACGAAGGACCATATAATCCGATCCCTAAAGATCCTTCACCTTCGGACTTGTCCAAAATAAAAACTGCGATCAAATCTTCGCCAAACATTTCAAGCAACTTAAAACATTCGCTTATCCCATCTGTTGCGAATTGTGCCAGATTATATGCTCTTCCCAAAATTCATAAAAGTTGTATTCCTTTCCTCCCTATTGTATCAAATTTAGGTACTGCCTCGTATCCATTAGCTAAATATTTAGTTTCTAGATTTTCCACTCTATTAGACAATAACATTTACACCATAAAAAATTCAATAGAGTTTGTAAAAAAGGTTAAAAACATTTCTCGTAGTAATTTACTCATGGTTTCTTTTGATGTAAAATCATTTTTCAGCAATGTCCCAGTGGAGGGTGCATTAAGATGTCTAGAAACCAGACTTCGCGAATTTCATTTCTCTTGCATCGAAATTGATGAGCTAATTTCTCTCACTCAACTCTGTTTGAAACAAACACATTTTGTTTTCCAAAATAAATATTACAAGCAAACTGAGGGATTAGCCATGGGAAGCCCCCTCAGTCCCATCCTGGTTGATATCTACATGCATTATTATGAATCAAAATTGTTTAAAACTTTTAACTTCCGGCCATGGTTCCGCTATGTAGACGATACTTTTACCCTGTTTAAAGGTAATAAAGAGGATTTAGATAAAGTTCTTTCAACAATGAATTCTATTGATCCTGCTATTCAGTTCACTTTTGAACTTGAGACTTGCAAATTCTCTTCCGTTTCTCGACATTCTGGTCACACGTAACACATCCAACTTCAGTACTACGGTTTACTGTAAACCTTCATCGGTTTGCCTTCCACCACACTTTAAATCATGTCATCTGACTAAACTAAAGTTAGCTTCATTTTATTCCTATGTTTTCTGTGCTCTTCAAGTTTGCTCCTCCAAACTAGCCCTTGATGAAGAACTAAATTATTTAAAAGCAATAGCTATTGACAGGGGCTTTTTACCCAACATTATTAATCAAGCAGTTAAAAAATTCTCATCTCAACACACTAAAAGCCACACTCTTATTTTAGGAGATTATAAAAATTCTGTTGTCATTCCCTTCTTTCCATCAACTAGCTATAAAGTTGAACATATTTTGCAGAAATTTAACTTAACGGGTTGTTTATTCTCCCATGAATAAAATTCCGACTTCCATACTCAAGGACCCCATTCCGGATATGAATTCCTGGGCTATTTATAGGATTCCTTGCCAGTGTGGTTTAATTTACATTGGCCAAACTAAGAGAGCCTTAAAATTTCGCATCAAAGAACATGAGGCATATGTTAGAAAAAAGGAAACACAGAAGTCTTCTGTTGCTCAACATTGTTGGTCCGAAAATCACACTTTCAATTTTTCTGCTGCCAAAATTATTCAAAAAACATCTTCCATTGGAGAACTGAATTTTCTAGAGGCATTTCACATTTATAAAAATCTTTCTGTTCTAGTTAACGATCCTAATTCCAATCCAAATTTGCCTTCGGTTTTTTAAAGAAATTATGTTTTAGTTCTGGTTTCGCCAACAGATGGCACTAACTTGCTTATTTGTGTCCAGGCTTTCTTATCTTATCTAATCATTATTTCCTGTCTTGTTCATTTGCGGTTTTGCAGCTGAGGATGGTGGTTCGGTAAAACCATCAAAACTAGTCCTGTGAAAATTTTGTAAATATAACGCTGATTTTTGTTGTTTGACTTCTGAGTTAGTATTTATTCGGCGTGTTATTGTGTCTTAATTATATATTTTCATGTAAAATTGGATTTGAAAAAAATTGTTTTACTTTTTTTTTATTTTTTTAAACGGTACTTAGTTTCCGAATACGCCTCGTATATATCTGTGAATAACAGTTTTTTATAACTGCAATTAAAAAGTAAGCATATATGTAGAAAGAAATTTCAGTGTATTAGTAAATTGAATGACTGAATTATTAAAATCAATATTTTTGTCCTAGATTCTGTACTAGATTCTGTAAGGAAAAATGACTGTTTTTATGAATAAACTGATCACATTTTGCATGTGAAAATTACTCTTCTGTCAACTATTGAAATTAAAGGAAAGATTGATTTTAATTAAAAATTAATTTTTAATTAAGGAAGGGATTGGTATTACATAAAATTAATTTAGAACAAGCTGGTGTAATTAAACACGTTTATTTAATCTTGTTAAATTGAAAATGTAACTTCTCTGCATTATGTTTAGCTGCAAAGAAGATGCAGTTATCTGTGTTTTTTTAATTTTGTGCTAATAATATTTTGAACAGGCCATGATGCAGGATATCGAAGAAGAGCGAAGACAGTTACGTAAAGAGCTTGCAAATTATAGAGAACAAATACATCAGCTTCATGAAACTCATCGTCATTGTGTTGTTCCATCTCAGTCACCCAGTACATACTCGAGACCTAGCAGTTTTGTTTCAATTGCCTCCACAACGTCTGATGGTATAGCTGAGTTCTTTGAACATCAGCAGTTGTTTTCAGGTCTGGTTATTATTTATTTTGTTGCATTTTGTTGTTCTTATAATTCATCAATTGAATTAAAGTTATACTCCCTCTTCAAGTTTGCTTCTTTTTTTTAATGTTTTTTAAAATTGAATTTTTCTCATGTTGGTTGAATACACAGAGTGCAAATGCTTCTTAAAATACTGAGTCCTGGAATTGGTGTTTTTAAATACCAGATGAAAGTAGTTTTTTTTTTTAATAGTGTTACCTTAATTCTAGTAAATTTGCTTGGAACATTATTTCTCTAATTGAACTGTATTTGAAACCAGAGTTGCCAACTCTCCCGATTTAGGCGGGAGACTCCCGATTTTCGACCGCTCTCCCGCCAACCCGATTTACAATATATTTCTCCCGACTTTTCTTATTCTTAATATTTCTCACGATTTTTATGCAACTTGGCTTCATACTTTCATACTGTTCATACTGTTATATGAATAAAAAAAAGTGCTTTTGGACGTCTGAAAGCAATTGAATTTTCTCTACATTATATCTAAAACAAAACCTTGCGAATCAGATAGCTTCTGCTTTGTGAGTGAGAGCATTCATTATACGTATCCAGAAACGTCATTCTCCAGTTCTCCAACAGGCTTCGAGCTCCACTGCGTGTCAGCTGGCATATATTAGCCAATGAGGACAAAGCAAGTTGTTATTTGGACGTTCTTTTTAGTTATTTCGTTCATTTTGTCCTGAATTGTGTTAGTACACATGGCTTAGGGAAATAGTTTTAGAAATTATCATCTTTTGTTACGCCTGCGAGAAAGGTAAAATACTCGTGTACGTTTCAAAAATCGCACACAGTTGACTTTCCTTCCATTATTTCCTCAAGGAAATGTAATAAATTTGCGATGTGTACCGCCTGTCGTTGCGATTTTTCGATTTCATATGTTGGAAGGGCGGATGTTCTCAAACATGTGCGTACACAAAAACACAAGGATAACATGAGTTGTTTTGAAAAAAACGAAAAATTAAATTTTTCTTCGGAAACAAAGGACCAAAAAGTTATTAATGCAGAATGTCTGTTCTCTGCCTTTTTACTGGAGCACAACCTGCTACTGAATGCATCGGATCACGCTGCAGCTTTATTTAGAAAAATGTTTCCCGATAGTGAAATCGCCAAGAAATACTCAAGGTGCAAGAATCAAAACAGGTGCAATTGTTAAAGAAATGGGTTTGAAAAATAAATCTTCAGTTATTGATTGCATTAAAACAGCTCCGGTCTGCCTCTCTACTGATGGAAGCAATAATACCGATTCAAAACTGTATCCAATTGTTGTTTCTTTTTTTGATCCAGAGTCTTCAGAAATTGAGTGCAGTTTACTTTATGTTCCCACTTTATAAGGACATTTGACAGGCTTTAATATAGCACAGCTAATTATTAAAACTTTAAAAGAAAACTGCAGGCACTCTGGATAATTGCTTAGCACTTGGTGCCGATAATGCACCAGTATTGGTAGGCTTGGAAGGCTGGTGTTGCAGGCATCTTAAGAAAGGAAAATTCAGATTATGAGGTGCACCTGTCACCTCTTAAATTTAGCAGCTGAAAAAGGGGCAACTTATTTACCAATAAATGTGGATGAACACATTGTTGATATTTATTATTATCTTGAAAGGAGTTCTAAAAGGAAGGAAAAATTAAAACAGTTCCAACAGCTGCATAACAGCAGTTTACAATTAGAAAACTTGGATGAAGTTATAAAATCAGCTACGATTGACACCCAGTGGAGTTTAATTGCAAAACTGAAAGGTGCTGATGGAATTTTAAAATATAGTGAACTGTCTAGAATTGTGTTGGTCATCTTGACAGTTCCCTATAGTAATGCAGAGTGTGAGAGGATCCTCAGTGTTGTTGCGAAAACGAGGACTAAATTTAGATCTAATATTAGAGATGGCACATTAGAAAAACTTTTATCAGCGAAAGCAGGCCTACGTGGCAATTGCTGTGAACACAATGATAAAGTTTCTTTCTTAAAGAAAGCAAAATCTGCCACTGTTTATAACATTTGTACGAAAACTGATTAAAGAGTCTTTTTTTTTTTCTTAAACGATGCGTGTAGTAAAAATTTTTTTATGTGTAAGGTATTTTGTGTTGCTTGCATTTAAGAATTAGTTACTACTTAAAGTTCATTCATTATTAAAAACTATATTTTTATCATTTAAAAAGTCTTTTTAACATTGTGAAAAATCTCCTGATTTCTTAAAAAAATCTCCTGATTTTTGAGTGTCATAGGTTGGCAAGTATGTGAAACATTTAACTCATGGGTCCAAGTTTTATTGTGTTGTACTAACCCTGAATACATGTTTGAAAATGAGGAAAAATAAGCATTTCTTTCTCCTAAACTACATTTTAAACACACTTTAGTGGAAAGAGGATAGAAATAATAAATTAAAAACCTTATCTTTAGTTTAATACAAGGTATTTCAAAACAACAAAAAACATTATTGCAAAATTTTAATTTCTTGCAATGTAAAAGTGCTATTCTAAGTCCAGCATTTGGGTGATGAGGCAAATGTCGTAGAATATATTAAAAGGATGAAATAATTGCAAAAAATTACTTGCTTTTCCTTTCTTGAATAACCTTTATTATTTTAACCTTTATTATTAAACTTTTATTATTAAAGTTTTGTAAATATTTTAGCTTGTATGAAACATGCATTTTTTTTACTGTGGGTACTAAACTTTTATGAATGTCCTTTTTCTTATTTCTGCTAGCATTCCTCTATTCAAAACATCTAGGGAAATGTCTTGTCTCATGTAAAGAACTTATAGAGTAACTCAGAGATACCCAACCATTTCGTACCTTAGAGTACAGTCTAGAATACTGGTGGTGCGGCGAATACCAGTATTTGAAACTGTATCTGTTTGCCTTTGTGTATTCTGTAAATATGTTATAGATATTCTTACCTATTGTTCTTCCTTTGATTAGTTATATTTTCAGTGTATCTTGCTTTTAATAAAATTAGTAAATAACATTCTCATCTTAACTGCTAACTGTGGAGTACCTAATTTATTTGTAAAGTTGTCAGATTATATTGAGAACCTATCATATATTTCAATCACGCTTTAGCTGTACTGCATGTCTTTTGCAATGGCATGCATTCCTATTGTGACAGTGTAATCTGACAACCGCAAGTCTTGAATTGGTGGTATAATCTCACGTTTATTAGAAAATCCCTCAAATAAGCAATCAGTATTAGTTAAAACCCCTCATTTAACAATTCACCATCCTCAAAAGGCCTTTTTCTTCTTTGTGAGCATGTGGAAAATTTTGAAAGAAACAATAATGACTTTTTAGGCTTTACTATAAACTTATTATAAACTGACTGTGGAACAAACAAGTTTGATTTTACCTGATTTATTGTCTTCTTTACTTCAGATTTAAATGAATATTTCATAATAAAGGTAGTATGAATGTCTGACGTGATATTCAACATTATTTTTGTTCAGCACTACAATGCTATTGTCACACAATAAACAAACACATTAAAATTGACAAAACAATATGATTATGTCCAGTTAGTGTAAAGGTTATAGGTTCCTTGTCTTTTACTTGAGAAATTAATTTTGGAATTAAAATAATAATGTAATAAAAACGATGAAATAGAAGACATCAGTAATAAAAAGGAGACATGTACGCTAAAGCTATGAACATATAACAAGAAAAAATATAACACAGCAGCCAGGGGGAATACCCATTAAATGAGGGTTCCCCTTGGTAGATGGCACCTGCCATGTACAACAAGCAATTATACTCTACCCATGGCTCCATCTACAAACAGTGGCATATCATATAGTACATGGAAGCATTATAATATTTTAAATGATTGAATATTTGACATTTTTTTAATATTTAATAAACAACCGAGACAAAATGACCATCTGGATAAGATCATACCTTCAAACTGAAACAATTCCAGTCATTCGGATGCCTGGTAAGCACATTTAAAATGCAAACACATAATATTTCTCTAATCAATTACTAACTGTAAAAAATTGCATAACATACTTTCTTTCTTTCCACCGACAGCGAGGCAGCCGGTCCACTGGGTAGTTAGCATATCGGCCAGGTAGCCCCGCTGACGGAAATAACTTGAACAAAAGACACACTTATAAATACATATTGTGCTCAATACGACTGCTGGGGGCAGTGCAAACAAATGCTGGACGAAGACGATAGTGCATGATGGAAGAAGGGTGCATTGCGGGCGTGAAGAACAATTCCAGTTACATATTTACAGAGTAATGGATAGGTGGTTACAAATACTAAAAGTAATAAGAAGTAAAAAACTTGAAAGTAAAACAATGCATAAAATAAAAAAAGGCAAAACATTGGAAACAATACATAAAATAAGGCAAAATACATAGTTCAAGGTTCATAATTCAAGGTTTACAGTTCAAGAAGATAAATATATACAGGAAATAAGAAAAGCCGAATAAGCTAACTTAAGATAAAATTAGTTTGCTACAGGTACAGAGCATACAGGGGCTGTGCTGGTGGCGAGGATGGTGGTTGAGAATTACTCCAGCCTGTCTGAGAATATGCATGCAATGTTTATGCAATCACATATGCATTTCAATGCATTGCGATTTTTTGAAGTAGCTTTGGCCCATGCATGGATGTGGTTTGCTACTGGTTGCCTAAGATGATATTTAGCGGTCTCTCTGCAAGCGAACAGATAGTGGTCCGGATCTCCTACCATCCCGCATGAGCAATGCTCGTTTTCGCGTCGTCTGAAGCGATGCAGGTAAGTCATGAAGGGACCATGTCCTGTTAGATACTGAGTGAAGTGAGACGAGCCAGATTTTAGAAGCCGGCAGACTTTTGGAAAAAATCTGTAAACTCTTCTGCCGGTGGTTTCTGTCTCCCACAGATGTTGCCAACGTTTAAGTAATTCTCTCTCGAGCTCAGCTTTTAAGAACGAACCCGGGAGAGGCACGTCAAGTGTGCGAACGTGGGGGTCAGTTGCTGCTCTTTTGGCTA